GGGAAGGTGTTGATGTTCCCATTTAAAAAGCAAAAAACTCTCAGGTGACGCTGCCTCAAGAATAACGTTCATTATCGACAGCACCTGCCCTCACAGCCTGGGGATTCCAGCAGGGGCAGGCGGTGACCGGAGCGTTTCCCCCGCGGAGCATTTCAGGGGGTGCTGAGCTCTCGTGCAGGGGCCGTTCCGGTGAAGGCCGGGGGACTTGCCCGACGGAACGTCACGGGTGTGCTCAGCCGCTCTGTTAAGCCGAGACAGCCTTGTTTGAGGCAGAGGAATCTGTGTTTTGCTGAACCAGGGTTTTTCTGCAAGTCTTGCATGATTTTCAAACTCTGTCTCTCGCCCTCCTTCTTTCTTCTATCCAGCAGAAGGTTCCCAGATCTCCCTAACGGTTAACTCCGGCTCCAGCACATCTCTGTCAGCTCTCCTGCCTGCTCTTGCCCTAAAGGTGAGCTCCTGTCTCCAAGCGGCGCCTCCAGACTGGCTCCCAGTGATGTCCCAGTGCAGACAAAACCAGCCAGCAGCTGGGGGCTGTATGGAGTAACAGCAGCTTTTCCAACACTAAATTGCGTTCTAGTGAATTGGGGGCGAGAAGAGACCCCGACACTGTAATAACGTTCATCAGGGAGCGATCCCTGTTCTAAAGCCGTTTGCTGACGGACACCCCGGCGGAGCTGCGGGGGGAGGACCACTGGCGGGCACCCTGCCCCGGGCCTGCCCCAGCACATGGCACCCGGCTCTGCTCCCACCCGCTGCCTGCGGGTAAGGCCTGGGTGGCTCCAGCAGAAAGCCTCTGGCTATGGCAGGGCGTCTCACCAAAACCTGCGTTAGGATTTGCGAGCACAGCGAAACCTCCAGAGGAAGTTCCAGGTTCGGAGATGTGCGGGTTCACCAGGAACAGACACTCTCAGTGACAGAGAAATAAACATCTGAGTGTCACCACGGCTGGCATGTCCTATTCCCTTGCACCGCCTGGCTGCTCTTTCCACTCCCTCGGCTTGTGTTCAGTCCTTGTTGCCTGACTAATGATTTCACATCACCCTCCATGCTTGATGCTGCCTCCTTCCTAACAAATAAGAGGGATGTGGGTTTTTTCACACTTTTATCCCTTGTTTCCCCCCCCATCAGTGTGGATCCATCACAGGGTGGGCACAGGGGAAGCTGAGGCATGTGAGATCAAATCAGTCTCAACAGGCACGTCCCCCAGGGCTGAGCGTGCATCCCCACGGAACCTGCTCCAAGGCCTCAGCCCTTGGCCACACAAACGTCTGTGTATCCTGAGAGGAGCCTTTGGCGCAGAGCAGTAAGTGCCAGTCTGCCTGATCCAACAGACCGGACGCCCAGGAGCTGTCTGCGTGACTGACCCAGCCCCACTCAGTCTGGGGCTGGCTGTGGCTATGAACAGCCCTTCTGGGGTAAAACAGATCCACCTCTGTTCTGCAGGAGCATTTTATGAGCCTCAAAGGAGCCGGTTCTGGGGGGACAGATGAGTACGGCGAGAGTGACTCACGACCGCGGGCGGGGAGAGTGACCTGACCTCGGCACGGGGGGGCTCGGGGGCAGCTCAGCTTGTTAAAAGAGATGAATCTCATCATGCCAACACTGAAATCTCACGGGAAGCTGAAGCCCACTTTAGTTAGTCATAAAAGAATAGTCATCTGAAGCAGTTTTTAAATCATTGTTCATGGGTTTTGTCCCTTTCTTTTAAACGGGCTGTAAAGGGATTTATAGCCCCTGTCACCGGGCTGCCTTGGTGCCAGGGGCACAAATGGTGCCGCTTTTTAGGAATAGAACCACCTGCACTACTGAGGCCAGAAAGAACAATTACAATTAGAAATACAGAATTTCTAGTCATTCAAAAGGATAAATGCTCCTTACACTCTCAAAATTTAATTTATTACATTCAACAAAGCCAGGTTATTTGACATGAATTTACCTTTAATGAAAAATTTTGCATCAGAAAAGGATCAATGCCCAGGCCTTTACTCTTCTCATTGTCTAGTCTGTTCAAACACCTCAGTTCACCTATTTTGCCTTTGCTATTTCTTTTCAAACAATTAACACAGATATTGCCATGGTTCACTGCTGGAAACTGTGATGCCAGTGAATGTGCAATTGCCACAGAAGGGCAGCAAAAAGATTTCTCTGTAACAAGCCAGCTGTATGAATACATTTTTTTAGCTGGTCCGAAGTTAAGCACTGTCAGTACGCACACCTCCTGCCTTACTGATATCGGCACAATCAAAATAGTGAACATCTTACCAGCTCTAATATTCGTATAAAGGAGCTTAGTGGTAGCGTTTGTTTAAATTTCCATACAGAAATGTGCTGTAACTGGAGAATGCAGTTTTCTGTAAGCCTAAGTGTATTTATTCCAGTGTTTCACTGGCCAGACTGTCTCAGTCCCAGCCTGGCCGGCAGCTCCTCGCTGGCCGTTCCGGGGGGTTTGGGGTCCTCGTGCTGCGGCAGTGAGGCGATGCCGGGCTGCGGAGCGGAGCGGGGTGGGAGGCGAGGGAGAGGCTGGGAAGGGCTTTGCAGCGAGCCCTGTCCCCGCGGAGGGGACGCTGCCGTGTTCAGGACAAAGGCCTTGGGCCTGGTGGGGGGTGTGCCCTTGCCCCCCCTGTTCCCCCAGGGTCTGTCCTGGTGCCGGGGGCTCCGTTGTGCTTCCTGCGTGGGGCCGTGTCCGTGAGTCCTGCAGGGAGCCGTCTGTCCTGGCGGCCCTGCCAAAGGGCTGCTTGCCCTGGGGAAGGGGCCGGGGGAGTTGCCCCCCCACCATTGCCTGCCCCGCTGGTGGTGACTCAGCTCGGGGGGGCTGGGTGCCCTTCGGGGCTCGGCTCTGGTTTGGGGCTCAGTGGGGCTGTTGCACCCTTGGGTGCCATCTCGTGGTGCCCCCTGCGCTGCCTCCCCCTCTCACACAGGCACAGAGAGGTTTTGTAGAAAAGAGATTTTAATGAGAAAAACCAACAGAAAAGGTCCTACCCAAGCGTCTGATCCCACTCCCTCCCCCCAAATACAACATTCCCATCCCATCCCGCAAATACACCACCCTCAACGCCCCACCCCCAAAGTAAAACAATAGTCCCCTCAAATACCCCCCTCGTCACCAACCACCCCGCTCCCCACATCACTCTCTGCTCCCCCCTGCGCCCCCCGGCCTGGCTGTGAGCGCCCTGTGCTTGCTGGGGGGCGGTGACAGGGTGCTCTGTCAGCCTGGAGTGCTGGGATGGAGGGGGCAGGCGGGGCAGGTAGGGCGGGCCAGGGGAGGGAGAGGTGTGATGCTGCAGGGCTGACGGTCAGCAAGGATGTGGTTGGGAGCCTCGGGGTGAGGAGGAGGGGGATGGAAAACAAAGCAGATGTCCCAGTGAGTGTCTCCTGCCACTCGCCCAGCAGGACGCCAGCACTGCACTCTTCATCTGGGGGCACTGGGAGAAATCTCTGGAGCACTGACCCTGGTCCTTGTGGCAGCTGCCACCTCCCCAGTAACACCCGCTGGGAATCCCATCCTGCCGGGACAAGCAGGGCTGGAACAGTCCTGAGCTCTGTGGGGAGAACTTCTTGTCACAAGGACTCGGGGAGCCAACTAGGAGAAATGCCCCCCGAGACTGGCTTGGAGGGAGTGGAGAAGGGCTGGTGGGACATGGGTGGCAGGGGACTGTCTGAGCCAGAGCCATGACAGGATTGTTGAGCTGAAGCTGGTCACTGGAAGGAGGAGAAAGGGCAGCAGAGTTGCTCCGGAGGGTTTTGAGAGAGCAAACGTTACGCTCCTTGGGGAGGTACTTAGCAGAGTCCCTGGCAACCTGCAGGTGAGGCCTCGGGAGCCGGCGAGTGCTGCTCAGGGTTGCAGAAGCACCACTGGGGAGCTCGGGAGCAGGCACCTGCTCTGTGTCAGGCGTCAAGTGAGAGGGCAGAAGGGGCTTGGCTGAGCAGGGACCTGCTCGCTGAGCTGCCGAGGAAAAGGAATTGCACCACCTCTGGGAGCAAGGTCAGGCTTGGCAGGAAGGGGCAGAGCCATGGCTCGCACATGCAGGGAGGAGAGGAGAGGCCAAAGCTCAGTTAGAGTTGGGAGCAGCCACTGATGTGTCTGACATCAAGAATTTTTAGGATTTTTAAGTAGGACTGTAGCCAGAGGAGCTCGGAAGAAAACATCAGAGTGAGCCTTGTTGAGGATGTTCACCTGACAGAGGTGTGGGGGAGACATCGGCTTGTCAGCCCTGCACAGCCCCTGAGCAGCAGCGGGGCTTTGATGAGAAACCGGCCTTGGGAGAGAGATCAGAAACTGCTGAGTTGTGCCGAGGTGCCAGGGAAAAACAAGGGACAGCTGCAACCCCGAGCTGGGAGAAGTTCCCGCGGCGTGAACAGCGCCTGAGCGAGCAGGGGATTGGTCTGCACAGCGTGTGAGAGTGGTCTGGTGCTGGTAGGAGAGAAGGTTGAGAGCTGCCTAACTGCTGATTTGCTAATTGTGAAGTAAGAGCTTTGGCGAGAGCATAAGTAGGTACTATTGTAAGAATAAACGGCCCCTGTCCTGAAAAAAACAAAAATAAAGAACACTCTGACTCGTTATTTTGGCCGCTACACCTGTGCTTTTTAATAAACAATTTAAACTGCCCTTTGTCTCCAGGAGAAACTCTCCAAATGAGTTGTATTTGACATGTTTAATGAACCCTTTAACATCATGAGCACTGTTCCCCACCAGTGCGGGTTAGTCCCACTTTCCAGGAGGAGAACAAGAAAGAAGTCAGGGGGCTGATCATGGTCCACCTGAGTTTCCTCAGCGGCATTCCTAGGCAAGAATCAGGGAAAACTGATCTTCTTAGCATTTGTATGGATGGAAATAAAAAAAATCCATCCGATAGTGTACGCTGGAGAACACAGGGCACCAGGAGTTTCACACGGCGTTGGTTTGACGTAGCGGGCCTGGCCGCGCTGCAGGAGGCACCCAGCTGG